TGTCAAATATTGTATAAAATCTCTATTGTTTAATAAAACTGAAAAAGAAATTCCTTTTATGAAAACTGGTGTTTAGCAAATATATAGGAAGAGTTTGTACCTTTAAAAACAAATTAAACTTGGAATATACCACATATGTACTTATTAATCAGCCAAATAGTGACTACAAACAATAAGTCATATATGTACTGTCTTGTGCGAGAGCGGGTTGACCTATTATGTCTAAACATTTCAACGAAGCTATTTTACACAATCTTCCAGATGTAGATTTGGAAGTAGTTCCTCGAATATTTCACAGGTACTGTCTCAGGCGTCGTCTACGAGCCCTGGGGAAAGTTCGGATTATTTTCTTAGAAAGTTGCTGATGTTTTGATCAAGAGAGGAGAAAGGCGACACGAGGAAATAGAAAGTTATGAGTGGAATAGGAAGAAGAAAGAGGACAGTATTGGAGCAACCCCTTCTCGCACTTGCTTATAGTCAATATCTTGCTTATGAATAAGTGCATATGTGACATTGGAGGACATTAATTTGCCATGTTGAGGAAGGGTCTCTGTGTCTGTCTCTGTCTTTGTTTCTGTCTCTGTGTCTGTCTTTCTGTGTCTGTCTCTGTGTCTGTCTCTGTGTGTCTGTCTCTGTGTCTGTCTCTGTGTCTGTCTCTGTCTGTCTCTGTGTCTATCTCTCTGTCTGTCTCTGTCTGTCTCTGTGTCTATCTCTCTGTCTGTCTCTGTCTGTTTTTCTGTCTGTGTGTGTGTGTCTGCTGAGCTACTCTGAGGGTAATGGACGGTGCTAAGGTAACTGACATTCCCCCGTCAACTGCCATGTCAATATTATGACCAAAGAGACGGGTGAGGGAGTGATGGTGGGAGATGGAAGGGAAGCGGAAAATTGGAAATGTGGGATGGGTAAGAAGGGGGAGGAGGGGGAAGCAGAGGGTTGGGGGTGGGTTGGGTTTAGGTAATGTTTAGTGGGTTTGTTCGTTATGATGGTGGGTTGGGTTAATTAGCTGGTGGTGGGTTAAGTTAGTGGTGGATTGGCTAGTTCTCTCGATCGTTTCCTTGGTGCAGTGGTTGGCGGTGTTGAAGGGGGGGGGGGGTGGTTGTACGGCTGATTGGTAGTTCTGTGGTTAAGTGTGGCCGGTGGTGATGAGTTTGTCAAGTTAGGCAAAGTGTTGATGTCCTTGCTCTGGTGATGTAAATTAGACACATCCAAATTGACTTCCTTTTTAGCAGTAAAATAGGTACCTGGGTGTTAGTCAGCTGTCAAGGGCTGCTTCCTGGGGGTGGAGGCCTGGTCGAGGACCGGGGCGCGGGGACACTAAAGCCCCGAAATCATCTCAAGATAACCTCCTACCTGTTTAAAACAATTTCTAATTTATATTATTATTATTAAATTTATATTGGCTCTGGGGCATCATATTATTTATAATATGATGCACTTGCTTATAGTCAATATCTTGCTTATGAATAAGTGCATATGTGACATTGGAGGACATTAATTTGCCATGTTGAGGAAGGGTCTCTGTGTCTTTCTCTGTAATAACCTGAGACATTAGAACTCCAGAGATAATTCCTGATTTTTATTTACTACATTCTTCTACCACGTTCTCTGAAGAGGTTCCTGGGGCCAGATTCACGAAGCAGTTACGCAAGCACTTACGAACGTGTAAATCTTTCCTCAATCTTTGACGGCTTTGGTTACATTTATTAAACAGTTTACAAGCATGAAAACTTGCCAATCAACTGTTGTTATTGTTATAAACAGCCTCCTGGTGCTTCGGAGCTCATTAACTGTTTAATAATTGTAAACAAAGCCGCCAAAGATTGAGAAAAGATGTACAGGATCGTAAGTGCTTCCGTAAGTGCTTTCGTGAATCTGACGCCCTGGATTTCATAGAACCTGTGATGCCATTGGTTCGCTGGGATCCTCTACGTCAAAGATAAACGTCGCTGGAAACGTTTATCCACGTTAATAAACGTTTTGATGACGTGTTAATATGCTCAGTTCCTGCTCAGTGATTTAGAGTGAAATCTTGCCGTGGCAGGAGTGATTAGGTCGACTCATCAGTGCCAAGATGCCAGGGAGACGCTGGCACTAGTGCCCAGTGCCACCAATCACAGCCTCTCTGGACGACACGTGGATCTTGACACTGTCAGGGTCCCGGAACCACTTGTCAGATCCAGCAGTGACGGAAGAGACTTGGGAAGAGGCTCGGACTCGGACAAAAGACCTTGGACTTTTCTTTCTCTCAGATCCTTCTCAGTTGACAGATGTGGTCTGATTGGTGACGTGGATATACTGATCGTCCTGATAGCTTGAAGGTAGGTGAGAGAGAGAGAGAGACAGAGAGAGAGAGAGAGACAGCAGAGAGAGAGAGACACAGAGAGAGAGAGAGAGAGAGAATGTTGACCAGACCACACACTAGAAGGTGAAGGGACGACGATGTTTCGGTCCGTCCTGGACCATTCTCAAGTCGATTGTGGTCTGGTCAACATTCTTCAGC